GCAGGGGCAGCCGTTGGTGGCCAGGCACAGAGCTGGGCTCCCCTCCGGCTCAGCGCAGCCCCCCGGGGAGCAGTAGTCCTCCTGGGTGATGGTGCCCCCCAGGGCAGCAGCCAGGCTCTCGCTCACCTCCAGGACATCTGGTGTCATGCATGCCTCTTTCTTAAGAAGGAGAAAAATGCTCTGTGGGATCCCCTGCGTGTGCTTTTCACGCCCTACCTGCACCCCACCACGCTGTCTGCTTTGCAGGCAGGACAGCTGCCAGCTCCAGCCAAAGCCTTGGCAATTCGGACACCGCCAGGGCTTGTCCTGGCTTCCCAGCACAGCTCCCACACCCCAGTTTTGTGGCCAGGGCCGTGCTGGGGATGCTCACAGCCAGCCAGGAGGGGGACTCCTGGTCATGTCCCTGCTGGGGGATCTCATTGGAGGGGGACGCTGGGGGAGCACGACTCCTCCTGTGGCCCCGGAGCCGGGTGATGTGGCCCCAGGGTGATGGGAGGAGGTAGCGGTGCCTGTGGGTGCTGCAGTTGATAGGGACAGGGCAGGAGAGGAGAAGGGGACCTGCTGGAGGGACGTCCTCCCCAGGGAGCTGGAGAGGAATGGCAGTTGAGCTTAGCAACCGCAGCACGTCTCGCCCCCCCTTTGCTTTATAGGCATTAGCTAATTGGTGCTTTTGTGCAAGCCTGCCTGGCTACATGGGGACAGGCAAGGCGCAAGGCAGGGAGGACTGGGGAACACACAGGGAGAAGGGGAGTGCTACCTGCAGATATCTCCCCTTCCTCCCTCCTCCCCACTAACGAGATTGCTGGGATGAGCCTGTCCTTCCAGCTCACCTTCCCGCACCCCCCCGAGGCTGGGGGATTAGCAGCACTAATCCTTCCAGCAGCTCTACATGAGGGCATCGCCGCAGCTCCGGGCCGCAGGCGAGGGCAGCAAGCCCTTGGTACTGGGCTCAGAGGGGTCTCCAGAGGGACCCAAGACCCTCCTGCCCACCCAGGAGAGGAACAGCCCCTCTGTGGGGTACAGGCTACCTGTGGGGGTGCTGAGCCTGGCCCCTCACTGGTGTGGGGGCTCTTGCTCTGCAGGCTCCAGAGGAAGTGGCGGATGTAAAGGAGGTGCCGGTAGATGTTGTCGTCCAATGTCTCCACCTCCAGGTCCACTTTGAAGCCCCCGCTGGGCAGGATGATGGGCGGGTGGTTGTCGAAGGACTCCAGCATCTCATCTGAAAGGCGGAGGGAGGGAGGCTAGCACTGGCCCGGGCTGCATCCCTCGCCTGCCTCCCGGCTTTCGGCCACATGTGGTCTCCCAGCCGGGACCAGGAACACGGTGAGCTGCGAGGCAACAGCATCCCTCACTTAGGAATGCAGAAAGAGCCCCAAGCCTTTCTGAGTGTGCTTTGCATCCTTTGCAATATCTGAATCGTGGGGCCATGGTTATTCCTGATCACTGCAGTTACTACAGGAGCCCCAGGGAGGGGAAGGGAATTGCCTGTTTGGTTTATACATAAAAACCTTGGAGGGAGCCTGCAGGTGACCAGAGCACGATGACCGGAGCAGCGTTGAGCGCAAAGCCAGGGGCTCACCGGGCTGGAAGGTGGCCGGGCTCTCCTCCTCGACGGGCTGCCACGCTGCAATGCAGCCCACGCCCATCACCACCTGGCACTGGCTCAGCACTCGGTGGAGCTGTGCGGGGCTCAGCGCCGGGAACTCGGCTCGCAGGGACGGCCAGGTCATCTGAGTGAGGAGACAAAGCACGGGGCAAACGGCAGAGGTGAGGAGCTGCTTTCTGAGAGGAGCAGGGGCTCGCGAGGGGGATGGGAGGGAAAGGCTGGGCAAGATGGAGTGAGCCTGAGCATCCCCTCCTCGGTACTGCCCACCCACGGACCCATCACCCCGGGAAGGGGCAGCTGGTGACAGGTTGCAGAATAAGGGACATATCACTGCAGGGACCCCCAAACCCTAAGCAGGGTCTCTCCTGCCCATGCCCATCCCGACGCTGCAAGCCCCCAGCCGGGTGCCCCTCACCTGGACCAGCTGGGAGCCAGGCATGGCCAGCAGGTTGGCCACGCTGGTGAGTTTGGCGAAGAACTGCTGGGCGAGCTGCTCGAAGCCAGCACCGCGCAGCCACTCCAGGAGCAGCCGCACGCTGGCCTGCAGCTTCACCCCCTGCGACCAGTGGAAGCAGCCGAGAGAGGAGCCTGCGGAGGCAGAGCATCCATCAGCACGTGTCAGGGAACAGCCCCCCGGTACCCCCATCCTTTGGCTGGAGCCCAGCCCCTGCCCCAGGGGTAGAGCTGCCCCAGGGCAGCAAAATAAATCCAGGTTAAGGTCCCCAGCATCCTATAGCTGTAACTCCTGGTGGTGGCTGGACCTCACCTGGCACTAACAGCAGGCAATGGGGCTGTTGTGTTAATGAGGGCTAACGAGCACCTCAGTTACAAAGCAGGCTGCAGTAGTTTGTTAATGAGCTGCCCCTCCAAACTGCTCTCAGCCTCCTCTGCTCAGGCTCAAAAGGAGCCTCAAAAACCCTCTCTTGCAGGGAGTGAGGATGGGGCACTTGTGGGGTTAAACCCCTCCCGGGAATGGGGACCCTGGAGACAGCAGTTGGGTCTGTGCTTGGCCTCCCCATAACAGTGCTGAGACCTGCCCATCTCCAACCCCCTCAAGCTGCCTGAAGCCCCCTCCCTCCTGTACCCCCCCGAGGTGGCACTGGGATGGACTGGAGGGTCTCCCAAAGGGCCGGTCCCCTACAGGTTACCTAGTCCGGGCTGGGTGTTCGAGGAGGACTGACCCTTATCCAGGAGCTGGTTGAAGAGCAGGGTGTTGGAGAAGAAGAATAGGTAGGCGAACATCTGGGAGGTGATCTCCGGGTGCACTTCGTACTGGCGGAGCAGGTCCAGCGCCGCCTGGTAGATGAGCACAACCCTGCGGAGCTCCTCGGGCAGCGGCGGGGACACCCGCCAGCTCTCCCGGCACTCGTTCTGGAAGGGGTTACACTCCAGCAGGGCAGGGAGCGACACATACAGACACTGCAGGGAGAGCAGCAAGTTCACAGCAGGACTGATTCGGTTTCTTTTTTTTTTTGCATGAGCCAAACCTTTCCGACCCCCTCACCTCCGCAAGCCGAGCAAACCCCGCTGGCGCTGCTCCAGCAAGGGGCTGATCTTGCTTACCCCCCCACAAGAAGAATGTGTCTCACGCTTTTAGCAGCTGGAGGTGACGGCGTGGGACAGCTCAGCTAAAGGGATCTGAAAACTGATCTGAACCAGGGCAGTGGCCGATCAGCTGGGCACGAGGGTGAAAGAAAAACTGGGACCGATGGGGATGAGCTTTCCCTATTGCTTAAATGGGAGAGCAGCACCTAGTACCCATCTCTGCCGAGGCTAAGGAGGAGGCGAGGGTGCTGGGGCGGAGGGTGCTGCTCCGGCAGAGTGGCACAGGAGCAACCCCTGCGTCCCCGCGTGCCGACGCCAGCAGACAGGCAGGGCCATCCTGCACACAACAGCCTTTCTCCTGCCTCACACTGCCCGCTCTGTTCCCCGCTCCCGATGCCGCCCGGCTCTCGCGGTCCAACGGCGACGGTCCAGGGGCCCCTTTCCATCGCGCCCTGAATCGCACCATTATGCCGCGCTGGCCGGAGCCAAGCAGCTCTCCCCAAATGCCTCCCCTGAGCCGCTGCACTGCAGGCAGAGAAACACGCCGCAGTAACTCAATACTTTTCCTGGGCTGTGACCAAAAATCGGGGCTCTTCAGCCCAAAGGAAAACACCTCGGCGTGATGCAACTGCCAAAGAGTAAAAGTTTAAAAAAACCTCCTGCGCAGCCCAAGAGCTGCTGGGGATGCTCTTGCTGGCCCCATGGGACACTGCCATCCTCCCCAGGGAGCACGTACCTTGGAGATGTAGTAGACGCACTGCTGGAATGTGTACATGATCACCTCCTCCAGCACCGTCATCGCCTCCTCGCTGGCTGTGATGGTCGAGGAGAACAGAGATTCCTTGGAGCCTACGGGGCGGAGAGGAGGATGGGGGAGCAAGCCTGCAGCAGCAAGGCAGGCCGAATTCACCGCTCCCCAGATGCCCGGGGTGAGAGTTATTAGTGCTCACGGGCTGGCACCACCACCATGGCATCCCTCAACAGGGGCAAAGAGGCTCCTCGTGCCCGAGCACCCGCCTGCCATCTCCCACAGCTCACAACGCCGCTGGCAGCACAGCCCGGCGCTGCAGCACAGTGGCCTCTGCCCCGCAGGCAGCCCAGGGCTGCACCCCTCCTTCCAACAGCCTGTCTGCCCTACGAACGTTTTAACTTGCTGCGTAGACCAGAAGGTTTCTGAGGCTGATTTAATCCCTTTTCCCTTTTTATCCTTATTTTTTTGCTGGCATTAACAAGGGCTCACCAGTGAGCAATTCTGCAGGGCTGCCTGCAAATCCAGGTGCCCTCGCAGCAGCCGGGGGACAGAAAGCCACCCCCGGGGCATTAACCACAAGCTGCCGTGGTGGAAAGGGGAGGCTCGGCTGCGAACAAAACACAACCTGGCCCCGAAGCCGAGCAGCACCACAGCATGACACGAAGCTGCTCCTCCCGCACAGACTATCCCAGCCTGCACCGTGGAGACGTCCCTGCTGATGAGGATTACAGGGGGTTAAAGGAGTATCTCGGGGGCACTGACCACTGCTTGAGACTGGGGATTAGCAGAGCAAAGTTGCTTTGGCCGGAGAAGCAAGCAGGGTGCTGCGTCCAGGCCTACCTCTGACATCCAGCTCCTCCTCCATGCTCTGGATGTAGGTGGGCGATTTCTGCTGAACGAAGTAGAGGACCTCGATGGCGTTGGCCATCCAGAAGAGGATGTGCTGCAAGTCCGGGAGAAGGTCCGTGATGGTGAAGCGGGACAGGGTGGCAGGGTCCTGGCTGGGGAGACACAGCGGGCGTTACAGCTGCTGCTCCTCAGCATCCCCACTCAAGCTTTTGGGGAGAAAACAGCCAGCCTGGGGCAATGCCAGGAGAGCATTTGCACCCCCCCTACTCCCAAGCCCAGCACCCCCTTAGGAAGACCCTTTGCAAGGAAAAATCTGGTGGTTCTTGCTCTGCGGGACAGTGAAGGGGACCCTGCGGGGACTGGGCTGGCCAAAGGCCACCTAGCCTTTGTGAGGTGCCACTTTTCAAGGGGGGGGACTCCCCCTAATACAGCTGAACTGCAGTAAATACTTGTGGCTGAAAAGCAGCTCTCCCCGAGAAGTATGTGCTATTCCTGCCAGCTCTGGACGGTTAAACCCAGCCTGCCTGCGCTGGGCTGTTCAAAAATAAAACAAAATAAATAAAAAGCATCTGGGAAGTTTCTCAACTGCTGAATGGCTTTTTCCTGTTATAGGAAAGGCCTGGGAAGCATCCTCTGAGCTTGTCCTGAAGGAGAGCTCAACAGCGAGCACCAACAGTTTCTCCAGATGCTGCTTTGGAGCCTGGATTTTGGAAATGGCTGGGAAGCTGGCCTCGCACCCCACCGGGAGCCAGCCACCTGCACAACTGTGACGGCCCCAAAGAGGTGCTCCCCACCCCAGGACACCATGTGCCACCATCCCTGGATGCACACATCCAAAGCCAGCCCCGTCCTCGCTCCGCAGGGGGGTCTTCAGCATGAACGGGGTGAGACCCCACACCGGGGCCATCCCTGCTATGTCCCTCGGGGATGCTGAAGCCACATGTGCAAAGCCTTGGCCTGGTCTTGGATTGGAGAAGACTCCAGAGCTGCTGCAGGTCCTATTCTCCCCCGAGCTCTCCTGTATTTCCAGCCCCACACATTCCCAAGCAGGGTCCTTGCAGGCACCGTGGTAAAAGGACCAGAGAGGCGAATGCGTGGGATTGAGCAGGAAAACACAGCGTGCATTGGTGCTAGGAGGGTGGTTATAACCAGCCATGGGGTCCCCTTGCTTGTGGAAGAAGAACTGGTTTGAATTCTCCCCGTTTCAGGGCAAAATGAGGAGGGGTGGCGGGCTGCACTTACTGCTGGGACTGCTTCTCAGCCAGCTCCCGCGTCCGCTCCTGGGCAGGGAGAGAAGGGGAAAGCAAAATGAAAACCAGCTGGATGGGGCAGCACGAGCATCACCCCAACCAGCAGTCGCTGCTGCCAGGCACTGGGCTGGGGGAAGACCCCAGGGGGGTCCAGCAACATCCCCACCCCACCAACACCCCTGTCCCACCACCGACTGACCCACACTGTCCTCTGGATCATTTTGGCCACTTTGAGCAGCAGCTGCCCGAAGTCGCCCGGCTCGAAGCTGGTGGCCGAGTGCTGGATGCAGAGGCAGAGCAGGAAGGCGGGTGTCAGCTTGTGGTCGTCCCCCCCCGGCTCGATCAGGGTCATGATGCGTCGCAGAAGCATGTCCTCGGCCGCTGGCTCGAACTCCAGCAGCAGCTTTCTGCGGGGCGCCCTGGGGCCGCCGATGGGTGATAGGCCCCGCTTTTTGGTGGCAGGGTCCCTCTCCTTCAGCAGGCTGCCACACGCCCCGCAGACGGGGGGACCCTCGGGGACGGCAGGGTGCAGAGCTCGTAGCCTCAGCAGGGTCTGCGCCGGCAGCGGCTGCGCCTTCATGGGGTCCTTGTAGAGGAGCAGGTAGTAGAGACCGAGGGAGAGGAGGTCCCCGTGCTGCAGCACGACTGTCCGGGCCACCTCGGTGAAGTTGATGGAGTTGCCGGCACCGGTGATGGGCTCCAGCACCAGCTTCTCCTCCCACCGATGCCGGGAAGGTCGGAGCTTCCTGATGGTGCAGTGCAGGGGCAGGATGTCGGGGGCCGACAGGCTGATGCTGGGCTTGCTTGCCTGCGTCCTCTGGCCCACTGTGTGCTGCTCGCGGTTTAGCAGGTAAACCAAGCTGTCCTGCCAAGCGGGGAGATGTGGTATGAACCAGGGAGTGGGGGAGAAGGGACCCTTCTCCCTGCAGTGCGGTGGGTGCTGCAGCCGCCCGCCACCCCCCCAGG